AAAGCCATTAAGACTCTTATTCACCTATATACCCGCAATGCCACTGAACATGAATGGGAAGCGTGGAGGTGTACGAAAGAAGTCCACAAGTTATGTGTCCGGGATCTCTTATTCTTGAGGGAAACAAATAATACTATAACATCTATCATACCTATAACTCCTCAAGAATGTAGACAAGTAATAGCTGACCGTAAATTTGGTGATGAGCATCTTCTCCCTGCAGGGCATAATATGTTCGCAACTGCAGAGCCAACATATTCACCCAGTAGGTCTTTCTCCAACTCTGAGTGTACGACTAAACCTCGTATCATTCTTGAGAAAGGTCATATGACCAGGATGCCTGATGAGTCCATTTTGTCCGATCTGCTTCTCAACACAGATGGTTGTCTAGCACAACACGGAGAATGCAGGTCAGACACTTCCATAGTTGTCTGGGCTCCACAGCACTATGATAAACGATGCGACTTCATCGACCTAAGCGAATATGATGCATTAATCGGTGATGACCTCATAGTTATTTCGAGCACACAAACCGCTTTAGTCATTACAAAAGAACCGCTACCAGATGCCATTAGGTCATGCTTTAAACTACCCGTATTTCACACAACAACTGGCAACTATGTCACTTTTCCGAAATTCCCAAACGAAACCACGCTTACCGAGATCATGATTAAAGGTCATGGTCCTCAGACACAGAAAATTAGATCCGAACGCTCAGTGAAAGCACACCCTACAAGAAAATGTCATTTCAATTTTGACTTACAATGGATTTTGAAAACAACCGAAGAGAAGGAAGAGACACGTACCGTATGTCCTTACCCATTCCTTCGGCCTCTTCTTCGTTGGCCAGGCATTTCCCAGACGTGGGAAGAGTTCAACAGAAGAAAATTGATTAATTCCACTTACCGACTCCCTGATTATGTTCAACATAATCGATTAGCTTTCCAATTTCTATTAAGCGAGACATCTTCTCCTTCAGATATTGAAGAATTTTTCCGAAACTATGATTATCCTGACCCTGAGGATGCTCTCATGCAATATTTTGGGTATTATGAACTGGTACAAACCACCCGTTTTGGTATTTCACTTCTCAATAACGAACAGTTACTTACGATGATCGCTCATCGTTTGACATTTGAAGAAGTTGACGAAGCCTTAGCACTAGCAGAAGGTACTAGTTACCGTGCTAAAGCTGAACACGTAGCTTACCAATTAGCAACCAGTCGCGCGCCTGTAACTCAATATCAATCCTCACCTTCTATCACGGAGGTATTGATAGCATTCATGTCAGCCAAACCTAAACGTGAGGTTGCTAGAAGCGTTCACGAAGTACAGCCGTTACTTCGTCAGTTCAATCGGTTGAGACAACAATTGAAAGACATTGTGCGTCAACCCGTGTCGGAGATAGATACAAAGATAAATACAGAATTTTTGAAATTGCCTACTCCTAAACAACATATTGCTAAAGACTTCCATAAATTACACAATTATTTCAACACAAACTATCTTATGGCATATGATTTTCCTCTGACCACACTTGTTCCCAGTCCGTTTGAACAAAACAGGACTCTTGTGTATTGGCCTTTCTATTTAGCACATCGTGACTACACACCCTTAGAGACGTCGTTCAAAAAGGCAGGAGTTAAAGGTATTGACATGCCTTCTACTCACGTACCCTTGAGCTCTTTTCTCATAGGTTCTGATTGGTTATTGAAATCGTTTGATCCATTAGATCAACGACCTTACAAACCAAAGCCTTTGAACACCACGGTTATTAGTGAAGTAAAGCCTATCCAAAATTTAAGTATGAAATCCACTATCAGTTTTCACGAGGTTGACGTGAAAGCCAAAGCTCACTATATGGCAACATTAATAACTGATGAACAAACGTATCAACACAATATTACACGTAATATTGGTCAAGACCACCTCCAATATGCCACAAAAATTGTCCAAGAGGACCTTAAAAAGCATTTCGCTAGTTCTTTTGAAACCATTTGCGCAATCCAAAATAAATACCTCGAATTATGGCGTTCCATCCTAACCATTGAGCCTACAGTAGCTATGCGCACTATGCTCGCAAGAGAAGACATAGCCGCTCGATTCGTAGGTGAACATGTTGTACATGTTCATTCGTGTGAGAAGATAGAACCTAAAGTGATTTTCCGTAATCACACCGTCAATTACACTTGTTATCTTGAAACACCCATATTAACTTTTGACAACCAACTTCTTTTTGCTTCTCCTGGTTCCACAGACCTTCTTCCAGCAGGAACAGAGATTCCATGTGATCAAGTTCCTACAGACGTCTGGCAAGACCAAGGCGTGTGGAAAGGTATCAATGGTACCTTAGAAGTTAATCCCATGTCCATAATTGAAGCTTCTCACCATTCTAAAGTAACTCCATTAAAATTCACTGGTATAAATCTTTACACTAACCTGACTTCACGCACTTCCTCCCTCACAGCTGCCATCGCATATGGTATAAGTCTTGCCAGCATAAGGCAAAACCACGCCCTTCAAGTTATCCATAATAACCCCACAGTGTCGGCAATGGTCAGCACTTTAAAGAAAGGAAGTAATTATGTGCAACAAGCACAAGATTATGTTGAATCCACTTGGGATCTGATTGTGGACTTCACAATCGGTTCCATTGAGAAAATGTTGATAACGCTAGGAATCATAGCGTTTCTACTGATCGCGCTAATTGTTGCTTATTTTGGATTTAAAATTTATACCAATGGGTTACCACTCCCTATCATGCACGTTAATGTCCACAACGACAACCCACCCACTCTGGTTGACCCAGATCAAAATATGATAGCATCAGTGATTAACGAGACAGAAGCTGCAATCGAAAATCAAAGAAACCATAGGCAGGTCCCTGCGTCAGCACCACCAGCTGAACTTGTTGACATTCTTGCGCGACATGATCAACCTATTCCTAATCATGTCATGCGTGCTTATTATCCTACCATCATCTCATTCATACCTTTAGCATTACCTTTCGTATGCTCTGTCAGCGTTAACAGTTTACACAACTCAGATCTTCCTCTTATTTACCTTACAGTAGACAATAAACTCATTCTTACTCTATGGGACTCAGGTTCCTCTGTTTCTTATATCAGAGAATCCACTTTAGCTTATCTTGGTATTACGTCTTATAAGAGTAAACAACAGACAGCTATCACTGCTAATGGTTCCACGTTTCAATTACTTGGTACCATACATC